GTCCGTCGTCTGTTGTCGTCATCTGTCGTCGTAAACTATTTAAAAAATCTTCTCCTCTGAAACTGCAGGGCCAAATACCTTCAAACTTTAACTAAATGTTCCTTAGGGTGTCTAGTTTATAAATTGTATCCGAAGTTTTGATCCATCGACAAACATGGCCGCCATGGCTAAAAATAGAACATAGGGGTCAAATGCAGTTTTTGGCTTATATCTCAAAAACTAAAGCTTTTAGAGCAAATGTGACATAGGGTAAAATTGTTTAATTGGTCAAGATCTATCGGCCCTGAAATTATCAGACGAATCAAACAACCCATTGTTGGGTTGCTGCCACCGAAGTGGTAGTTTTAACAAAATTTAGCAGTTTTTTGTTATTATTTTGAATATTATTATAGATATATATATAAACTGTAAGCAGCAATAATGTTCAGCAAAGTAAGATCTACAAAAAAGTTAATATGACCAAAATTGTCAATTGACCCCTTAAGGAGTTTTTGCCCTTTAAAGACAATTTTACACAATTCGTTCATCAAGTTTGCTAACATTTAAAAATCTTCTCCTCTGAAATACGGGTGGGCAATTCGGGCTCTTGAGAGCCTCTTGTTTAAATATTGATTTTTTATTAGAAAATCAGTTTTAATATTAAAAAATTATTATTTTCTAATATTCTAATAAAAATTCCCTAATGACAGCAGTGCTTATTATCAATTATAAGAACTTAATTTGCAGAATAATTAGTGAAATACAGCATCATATTTTTTAACCGTTCGCTCAACATGGGAGGGAAGTGATGAAGCCCTTAAATGCACAAATGAGGTTCACTAAAACCAAAGATTTTGATGGAAATGCAACAAACAGGAAAGTGGTTTATTAATGTGATTTTACGGTCTTGCCAATCTCTTTGTATATATGTCTCTTGTAGAACTAAGTGTTCAGATAATTTTTGCTGTTTCTCAATATCTATTATATTAGTATTCAAAAAATTTGTAAGGGTTCCACGGAACCCAGTGTCTCGCCTACTTTTGCTGTTAATCACAGGCTCAACAAAAATGAGGAAAAAAATTAATTAAAATATTCCTCTCTATACTATTTTTTGATTGTAAGTAGCTTCTGTCCAAGTTTGGTAAAAATCCAGGATAGTTTATGAATCTAATAAATGTTTTAAAATAAAAACTTAAACTGCAGACTGTTATGTAATGTTAACTGGAAGAAAAACTAAGTCCATTTATAAGTAAAATACGGAAAAAATGGAACAAAATTTTAACAAAATTTCCTTTCAGATACTAGCTTTTAATCATAAACAAGCTTCTGTCCAAGTTTGGTACAAATCCAGGATAGTTTAAGAAAGTTGTTAAAATTTTAAAAACTTTAACCACAGAGTGAATGTAATGTTAACTGGCAGAAAAACTAAGTCCATTTATAAGTAAAATACGAAAAAAATGGAATTTTTTTTTTACAAAATTTACTTCTGGAAACTATCTTATGATCACAAACAAGCTTCTTTCCAAGTTTGGTACAAATCCAGGATAGTTTAAGAAAGTTATTAAAATTTCAAAAACTTTAACCACAGAGTGAATGGCAGAAAAAGTAAGTCCATTTATAAGTAAAATACGGAAAAAATGGATTTTTTTTTTTACAAAATTTACTTTTGAATATTATCTTATGATCATAAACAAGCTTCTGTCCAAGTTTGGTAGAAATCCAGGGTAGTTTAAGAAAGTTATTAAAATTTCAAAAACTTTAACCACAGAGTGAATATTTGTGGACGACGACAACGCCGACGGAATGTAGGATCGCTATGTCTCGCTTTTTCGACAAAAGTCGAAGGCTCGACAAAAATGAAAACACTGTAATTTTCATGCGTCAGAAGTTCTTTTCTGGAATAATCTTCTAAAGAACGCTCAATGCTAAATATTTGAAAGCCAAAGCTGTATAAGAATCAAAACAGTTGAGCTATATCACCAAAATGGACCTAAAAATAAAAGCCAAATCCTTCTAAGGTCATCTTTGTCTCAGGGAGTTGAAGCCTAATAGTTTCTTAATAATTTTATAATTTATAAACAGACAATTTAAGAAAGGTTTGTTATAAATCATGTCAATACCCAAGTATTGATTACTGATACCCTTGGGGCTGGTAGTCCACATGCAGTGGTATCAACCCAAAATAATAAAGAAATAATTTCAAACTGGATTGTCCTATTTTTCTGAAAATTACATAGAGATAAATCTGAACTGTTGATCATTTTACTCTAGCTAACTGCTTTAACTATTGAAAGTCAAGCCAAAAAGTGCATTTTATCCTAGGCCTATGTTCTTTTTTAAGCATCAGTGGCCAAGTCTTTCTAAACTAGATACTCTAAGAAGCATTCAGATAAAGTCTGGTAAATTTGGCCTTGTAGTTTCACCGGAGATTTCTTTAAAGATTAGGATGAAGGATGCTTAGTGTTGGTATTAAATTAAGCTACTTTTCAGCAGAAATTGTTTATTTTTTATGAAAATGAATGTTTTTTTTTTGTTCAACTGATACACAATACACAATCAATAGGCAATACACAATCTGTTCCTTGAACTGCTTTTCCAAATAAACATGTGACACAAGTCACACGACATACATGTACACACACTGGCCTCTTAAAAACACTGCAAAGGATCTTATTTGAGTAGAGAGCACAATGTAGCACAAAAGTGAATAAAAAAACCACAAAGGATCTAAACGTGTTTTTATCCCATATGTATGCAGTGTGCCTCATTCGAAATATTAACTTGAATCCATTTAAACAATTTCTACAAGTTCATAAGTTGTGGCTATCCCTTTTGTCTCGTTGATCAGAAATAAATTAGTCATAAACTAAACTTAACCGAGCGACTGAAAAAATTAAATCATGTGAAATACCCCTAATTTCAGAAACCTCTATCCTGTTACTGGCATATGCCGTCCAGATTCAAACTAGATTTAAGTGATAAGATCTAATAATTGAGCAGATACACCTGCTTGCAGAAAAAAAAAACAGTAAATGAAATACCAAAATTAAACATGAATGTGACCAGTATTTTGTGTTTCATAAATTGTGTTAAAATCAAAAAAGCTTTTGTCAAACATTACTTCATTATCATCTGGAAATAAGAAAGTTAAATGTTTAAGGTAATTAAGGGGCATAACTCTTGAACGGTTATTCTCAAAACCATCAAAATGGACCTTGAACAGTTTTTCGATGATCCATGATATTATGTACAATTTCAAAGGACTGGGTCAAGTGGTACTATAATTATCATCCAGAAATCAAAGAAATAACATTTGCAAAGGCAAGCCGCAAATCTTGAACAGTAATTGTGAAAAAAAATTAAAATCTAACTTGACCTGTATTTTTATGGTCCATGACATTCTCAAATGAATTTCATTAACGATTCTATTCATATAATATTACTCTAACTTCTATCCCTTAAATATTTAGGCTTAAACAAAACTAACAATATATTCATGTAGCTGATAACCCAGACAGCTCGTCTGGATACCAGATTTTAATGATTTTTTAAACAATATCCATGTATACAAATTGTAAGCATATATACATAAAAGATCATAATTGATGAAATGCTTCTATGCTGTATTTTAAGTTAAATACCAAATAATGACAAAATCTATCATCAACAATCTCCCTGCCAGGAACAACCATGACAACCGACTGAAACGAGTGAACTTGGTCAAACTTCTTTAAAAACTGAACTTGTAGTGGGAAAGTGTTGGAAACCTGAGTCCAAACCTAATGCTCTGAAGACCATCTCAGGAAGTATACTTTAGACAGTATAAAAAAATTGTATAATTATTCAGAACAAAACAATTGATAAAAATATAAATTATATCAAGCTCAGCTAAAAAATAAAAGAAGAATGTGTCTGAGGATACGATGCCCTTGCTCAAGCTTTGCAATTTTAAAAATTGTAAAAAGGAGGATAACTCTAGAAAAGTAATTGACTCACTGCCCAAATTTGCAACTTTCCAACTGATAAAGGGGCATTACTCTTAAAAGTTAGTGGGGAAACAAAAATGGGACAAAAGGAACAACAAAAGGACAGAAGGACGTCAAGGGTAACACTTAATGCCTCCTTTCCCTATGGCAGGGGCATAAAAAAAACAAAAAAAATCGGAAAAGATATATATTTAACAACGGTGAAAGCCAAAATATACATTTTCTTTTTTCTTTTATTTTAAGATTCTCCATTCTTAACTTCTGGAAGTGTTTTGACTAGACATGGACCATTATTAATATATCTAAAAGAGTAGGTCTTCAAATAAAAGTGGTCCATTTCAATTAATTTTCAAAGTACCAATTAAATCTAGCCACAGGGGAAAAAAATAATGAATACAATCTGAACCATGAACTCAAAACAAAACTATACATACCAATAAACTGTTAACACAGAGATATGTCTCGCCTATTTGTTATTTTGATAATGCAAATGTTGAAATTAAAATAACAATACTTTTACATGTAAGTTATGCAAATATACAAAGTCAATGAACCATGACTAAAGGTACAGGGCTAAACAATCTTCATGGAAATGAGATGTGCCAATGCTAATACAACTGCATACCAAATACCATTGACTTTTCATAAGTCATTCCCTTTAAAGAAACCTAAACACAAACATTAACTTGTAAACTAAGCAAACATTTCAAAGTCAATAGACCATGACTGAAGGGGCGAGGCCAAATAATCTTCATGGAAATGAGATATGCCAATGGTTATACAACTGCATACCAAATATCATTGAGCTACCACCAGTGGCTCCCCATAAACTGACCTAATCACAAACTAATACATGAAAACTAAGCAAAGTTTCAAAGTCAATAAACCATGACTGAGGGGACATGGCCAAATAATCTCCATGGTAATGAGATGTGCCAATGCTAATTCAAATACATACCAAATATCATTGACCTACCACTAATGGTTCACCATAAACTAGACCTAATCACAAACTAATACATTGTTGACGCCTCTGCCGGAGACAGCATACTTATGTCTCGCTTTTTGGCTCTGTCAAGGCGAGACAAAAACCAGTTCAGTATCAATATGCATGACAAAAAAATTGTCAAGAATGGACATGAGTAGAGCTACCTGAATATATCCTTTGGTTTTAATGGTAAAAAGAGAGATTTTAAAATTCAAAATAAGTTATCTATAACTTACAATTTTGTTGAAAATGGAGAATCTTTACACTATTTTTTTTTTTTTTTAAATTATAAACATTTATCAAACATACACAAAAATTGTCTGAATTACATTCTTTACTGGTAAAGTCACCTAATCATTTTCATGCAGCCACAGTTAAAGTTACCTGAAAAAGAAATATTCATTCTTAAACATATCTGTCAAAACTATGTGAAAATAATTGAAACAATATTTAATACAAACGAATAATTAACTGGACATTACAATTATGATGCATATAACATTTCTTTACCTAGCTTTAAAGTGACTCGTGGATATAACTTTTAGACTACCAGTCTTTGTTGGCAAAAAAAGATGAAAAACAAGTCGCTGTTTGTTGTCTATTATATTTTTTGTTTGTTTATTGTTTTATCCTATATCAAGTCATTGGTTTTCTCATATGAATTATTTCACATTTTGCCATGTTGGGGCCTTATATAGCTTACAATACAGAATAGGTTTTGCTCATTGTTGAAGACCATAAAATGGCATTCTATAGTTGCTAACATCCTTGTCATGTGGTTTCTGGTTCATTAATGTCTCATTGGCAATCATACTACATTTCTTAATTTCTATATAGTGGGATTAATTTAGATAAAAAAAACAGAGAGAAGATATCCAAAATTCAAATCTTTACTTCCCTTATTTGTATCTTGATACCCCCTTCCAAATTATACATACACTTATAACATGAAAAATTCTAGTGACATGCTCTAAGCTGAATAGTTCATAAATCTATGTACTGATTCTTACCATAAAAGTCAGCTCCAATGGCCATTCCCAACCTCAATCCTTACGGACAAGCTGTGATGTTAATCTGAAATATAAAAATGCCTCATCATCAAAAATTGTTTAAACTGATCATTTTTGGTATACTTATATATATTTAATATAAATACTGGTAGTTTATAAATGTGTAATAGATGTTGAGAACATGTGGATTAGACAGCTATCCAGCAAACCAGCAAACTTTTATGTAATTATATCAGATCCTAAAATTAACTTATAAACTGGTACTGATAAATGAGAGAGCAGACCTGACCAACTAAAAGCCCAGAGAGAATTTTCCAAAGAAATTTTATAATACATTTGTGTTTTTTTTCTCTTCAAAACTGGAATAACATTCTGGTACTTACCTTCCTTTTAGATGTATTAGACCCAAAAGTCTTATTCCCAACACCATGAAAAACATGTCACAGAAAGAACCTAAAAGGAATTAAAATGGATACATTATTATATATTTTATAAATCCATTTCTGTCAACATAAACATTTACTAAACATTGTTTTGATTTCTTACTACATGTTCACAATAGTATAACATCAACACCTAAGTTTGTAAAATTAATATAAAGATGGAAAAAAAAGGAAGTCAAAGAATAATGATTTGAATTTCAACTGCATTAAAATCTGCATATTTTACAGAGTTATCTCCCATTGTTTATTGAATTTGTCTCCCCTTGGAAGTTCTATTCCAATCTCAGGATTTACTATTGCTATTTTAATAGAAAATCTTGTTAATATACTTGGTACATGTATCTTTAAATATTAAACTGGTAAAATAATTCTCTGTCGGGTAGCTACTTTTAGTTTTCAGTTTTCTAACTTGGAAAATATGTTCTCACCCTTCACATGGCTATTGTTAGAAAAACATTAATAATGTCTAATACAGTTATTATTTAATTATTTTTTTTTAATTATCCTGATAAGAATTCAACTGGCCAATGTACATGTAATGGTGTATAATATCATACCATTAGACTTTGCAGGTATTTAAGTTGATTTCTTCTGTGTGTTTTTTCTCATTGAAACCAATAGTCAATACCATATTTTATTTCTTTAAGACAAACAATTACACACATAGGACATATAAAGACCATCAGAAATAATAAATACAGTATTGTAACCTATATATCTCTGTAAGATAATAAAGATTAGTGATGTTTGAAAAATTGTTGTCACTTCTATCAAAGCTGGCTCTCTTAAAAGCTTACAGTAGATTAAGCTTCATCTGCGATAAAAATAAAATATAAAGAGTAAAGAGTATATAGTATAGAGTTAAGGAAATCTATATGCCACTCTCCCTGGTCTGTTAGCCATATTCAAGGTCGACGACTGAAACATCCTCTCTAAGCTGAATCAGCAAAAATCCAAAATTACAAATTAAACATCTGTGAGTGAACTCTGAAATGAAATATAAATATATATACAACCATACAATCAATCAACCTTACTATTTAAGCTGCAAACTGTAGCTCTTAGGTACTTATGATATTTATTGAACATAGATGGTCCTCAAATAGTCAAAAAATATCATAAAGACCTAAGAGCTATGGTTCTGCAGCTACCTTACCACCAATTCTTTGAAGTAACCTATATAAAAAATAAATATATATACAAACATACATACACATGAAAATATATAAAATGAAATAGATCAATCAATCTTACTATTAGCTGCAAACTGTAGCTCTTAGGTCCTAATGACATTTATTGAACATAGATGGTCCTCAAATAGTCAAAAAATATCATAAAGACCTAAGAGCTATGGTTCTGCAGCTACCTTACCACCAATTCTTTGAAGTAACCTATATAAAAAATAAATATATATACAAACATACATACACATGAAAATATATAAAATGAAATAGATCAATCAACCTTACTATTAGCTGCGGAACCATAGCTCTTAGGTCCTTATATTTATTGAACATAGATGGTCCTCAAATAGTCAAAAAATATCATAAAGACCTAAGAGCTACGTTTTGTGGTAATAAGCATTGTGTGTAAGTCTCATAACATTTGGTTGAGGCTAATTTAAGTAGAGAACAGAAACTAAAAATTCAGCAATTTTTCTATTTGTAAACACGCATAACTCTAGAACGGTTGTGTATAAGTTTTATAACATTTGGTTGAGACAAACTAAAGTTAGAGAACGGAAATGAAAAATTCAGCAATTTTTATGTTTATAAAGGGACATAACTCAAGAATGGTAAAAGTGTAGCCACCAAATTTCGTACTTAATCTGTATTATGTAGTAATAAGCATTGTGTATAAGTTTCATAACATTTGTTTGAGGCAAACTAAAGTTAGAAAACGGAAACACAAAATTGGTACTTGATCTTAGTTTTGTGGTAATGAATATTGTGTATAGGTTTCATAATGTTTGGTTGGGGCAAACTTAAGTAACAGAATTTAAACAAAAAATTTTGCAATCTTTCGATTTTTAAAGGGGCATAACTCAATAATGGTTAAAGTGACACTACCCAAATTCAACTTGATCTGTGTTTTATCAGTGGAAGTCAAAATTAAACATTGCATTATAAAGCATTGATTGTAGTTGATTCAACTATAATCATGGACAAAGGAAGATAACTCCAATTTTAAAAATAACTTGATATTTAGAAGAAAATAAAAATTTTGCAATTTTTCCATTTATAAAGGGGCAAAACTCTAGAACAGTTAAAGTGACGCCACCAAAATTCAAACTTGATCTGTGTTTTGTGGTAATTAGCATTGTGTATAAGTTTCATAACATTTGGTTGAGGCAAACTTAAGTTAGAGAATGGAAACTAAAAATATTACAATTTTTCCATTTATAAAGGGGCATAACTCTAAAACAGTTAATGTGATGCCACCAAAATTCAAACTTGATCTGTGTTTTGTGGTAATAAGCATTGTGTATAAGTTTCATAACATTTGGTTGAGGCAAACTTAAGAGAACGGAAACTAAAAATTTTGCAATTTTTCCATTTATAAAGGGGCATAACTCTAGAACGGTTAAAGTGACACCACCAATATTCAAACTTGATCTGTGTTTTGTAGTAATAAGCATTGTGTATAAGTTTCATAACATTTCGGTTTAGGCAAACTTAAGTTGGAGAACGGAAACTAAAAATTTTGCAACTTTTCCATTTATAAAGGGGCATAACTCTAGAACAGTTATAGTGACGCCACCAAAATTCAAACTTGATCTGTGTTTTGTGGTAATAAGCATTGTGTATCAGTTTCATTATATTTGGTTGAGGCAAACTCAAGTTAGAAAGCGGAAACCAATTTTGGGACGTACATACAGACAGACAAGGGTAAAACTTAATGCCCCCACCGCGTCGGCGGGGGTATAATAAATATATAATTTTTTATACAACCATACACATGAAAATACATAAAATGAAATAGATCAAACAACCTTACTATTTAAGCTGCAAACTGTAGGTCTTAGGTCCTTATGATATTTATTGAACATAGATGGTCCTCAAATAGTCAAAAATGATCAAAAAGACCTAAGTGGGCATAATAAATATATAATTTTTTATACAACCATACACATGAAAATACATAAAATGAAATAGATCAAACAACCTTACTATTTAAGCTGCAAACTGTAGGTCTTAGGTCCTTATGATATTTATTGAACATAGATGGTCCTCAAATAGTCAAAAATGATCAAAAAGACCTAAGTGCTACGGTTCCGCAGCTACCTTACCATCAATTCTTTGAAGTAACCTATATAAAAAATAAATATATATACAACCATACACATGAAAATATATAAAATGAAATAGATCAACCAACCTTACTATTTCAGCTGCAAACACTAGCTCTTAGGTCCTTATGATATTTATTGAACATAGATGGTCCTCAAATAGTAAAAAAATATCATAAAGACATAAGAGTTACGGTTCTGCAGCTACCTTACCATCAATTCTTTGAAGTAACCTATATAGAAAATAAATACATATACAACCATACACATGAAAATATATAAAATGAAATAGATCAACCAACCTTACTATTTAAGCTGCAAACTGTAGCTCTTAGGTCCTTATGATATTTATTGAACATAGATGGTCCTCAAACAGTAAAAAAATATCATAAAGACCTAAGAGCTTACGGTTCCGTAGCTACCTTACAATCAATTCTTTGAAGTAACCTATATAAAATATAAATATATATACAACCATACACATGAAAATATATAAAATGAAATAGATCAACCAACCTTACTATTTAAGCTGCAAACTGTAGCTCTTAGGTCCTTATGATATTTATTGAACATAGATGGTCCTCAAATAGTCAAAAAATATCATAAAGACCTAACAGCTACGGTTCCATAGTTACCTTACCATCAATTCTTAGAAGTTACCTATATAAAAAATAAATATGTATACAACCATACACATGAAAATATATAAAATGAAATAGATCAACCAACCTTACTTTCTAAGCTGCAAACTGTAGCCCTTAGGTCCTTATGATATTTATTGAACATAGATGGTCCTCAAATAGTCAAAAATGATCAAAAAGACCTAAGTGCTACGGTTCCGCAGCTACCTTACCATCAATTCTTTGAAGTAACCTATATAAAAAATAAATATATATACAACCATACACATGAAAATATATAAAATGAAATAGATCAACCAACCTTACTATTTCAGCTGCAAACACTAGCTCTTAGGTCCTTATGATATTTATTGAACATAGATGGTCCTCAAATAGTAAAAAAATATCATAAAGACATAAGAGTTACGGTTCTGCAGCTACCTTACCATCAATTCTTTGAAGTAACCTATATAGAAAATAAATACATATACAACCATACACATGAAAATATATAAAATGAAATAGATCAACCAACCTTACTATTTAAGCTGCAAACTGTAGCTCTTAGGTCCTTATGATATTTATTGAACATAGATGGGCCTCAAACAGTAAAAAAATATCATAAAGACCTAAGAGCTTACGGTTCCGTAGCTACCTTACAATCAATTCTTTGAAGTAACCTATATAAAAAATAAATATATATACAACCATACACATGAAAATATATGAAATGAAATAGATCAACCAACCTTACTATTTAAGCTGCAAACTGTAGCTCTTAGGTCCTTATGATATTTATTGAACATAGATGGTCCTCAAATAGTCAAAAAATATCATAAAGACCTAACAGCTACGGTTCCATAGCTACCTTACCATCAATTCTTAGAAGTTACCTATATAAAAAATAAATATGTATACAACCATACACATGAAAATATATAAAATGAAATAGATCAACCAACCTTACTTTCTAAGCTGCAAACTGTAGCCCTTAGGTCCTTATGATATTTATTGAACATAGATGGTCCTCAAATAGTCAAAAATTATCATAAAGACCTAAGAGCTACGGTTCGGCAGCTACCTTACCATCAATTCTTTGAAGTAACCTATATAAAAAATAAATATATATACAACCATACACATGAAAATATATAAAATGAAATAGATCAATTAACCAACCTTAATATTAGCTGCCGAACCATAGCTGTTAGGTCCTTATGATATTTATTATACATAGATGGTCCTCAAATAGTCAAAAAATATCATAAAGACCTAAGAGCTTACGGTTCCGCAGCTACCTTACCATCAATTCTTTGAAGTCACCTATATAAAAAATAAATATATATACAACCATACACATGAAAACATATAAAATGAAATAGATCAACCAACCTTACTATTTAAGCTGCAAATTGTAGCTCTTAGGTCCTTATGACATTTATTGAACATAGATGGTCCTCAAATAGTCAAAAAATATCATAAAGACCTAAGAGCTACGGTTCTGCAGCTACCTTACCATCAATTCTTTGAAGTCACCTATATAAAAAATAAATATATATACAACCATACACATGAAAACATATAAAATGAAATAGATCAACCAACCTTACTATTTAAGCTGCAAACTGTAGCTCTTAGGTCCTTATGATATTTATTGAACATAGATGGTCCTCAAACAGTCAAAAAATATCATCAAGACCTAAGAGCTATGGTTCCGCAGCTACCTTACCATCAATTCTTTGAAGTAACCTATATAAAAAATAAATATATATACAACCATAAACATGAAAATATATAAAATGAAATAGATCAACCAACCTTACTATTTAAGCTGCAAACTGTAGCTCTTAGGTCCTTATGATATTTATTGAACATAGATAGTCCTCAAACAGTAAAAAAATATCATAAAAACCTAAGAGCTTACGGTTCCATAGCTACCTTACCATCAATTCTTATAAGTTACCTATATAAAAAATAAATATGTATACAACCATACACATGAAAATATATAAAATGAAATAGATCAACCAACCTTACTTTCTAAGCTGCAAACTGTAGCCCTTAGGTCCTTATGATATTTATTGAACATAGATGGTCCTCAAATAGTCAAAAAATATCATAAAGATCTAAGAGCTACGGTTCCGCAGCTACCTTACCATCAATTCTTTGAAGTAACCTATATAAAAAATAAATATATATACAACCATACACATGAAAATATACAAAATGAAATAGATCAATCAACCTTACTATTAGATGCGGAACCATACCTCTTAGGTCCTTATGATATTTATTGAACATAGATGGTCCTCAAATAGTCAAAAAATATCATAAAGACCTAAGAGCTACAGTTCTGCACATACCTTACCGTCAATTCTTTGAAGAAACCCATATAAAAAATAAATATTTAATTTTTTATACAACCATACACATGAAAATATATAAAATGAAATAGATCACCAACCTTACTATTTAAGCTGCAAACTGTAGCTCTTAGGTCCTTATGATATTTATTGAACATAGATGGTCCTCAAATAGTCAAAAAATATCATAAAGACCTAAGAGCTTACGGTTGCGCAGCTATCTTACCATCAATTCTTTGAAGTGACCTATATAAAAAATAAATATATATACAACCATATACATGAAAATATATAAAATGAAATAGATCAATCAACCTTACTATTAGCTGCGGAACCATAGCTCTTAGGTCCTTACATTTATTGAACATAGATGGTCCTTAAATAGTCAAAAAATATCATAAAGACCTAAAAGCTTACGGTTCCACAGCTACCTTACCATGAATTCTTTGAAGTAACCTATATAAAAAATAAATATATATACAACCATACACATGAAAATAAATAAAATGAAATAGATCAACCAACCTTACTATTTAAGCTGCAAACTGTAGCTCTTAGGTCCTTATGATATTTATTGAACACAGATGGTCCTCCAACAGTCAAAAAATATCATAAAGACCTAAGAGCTTACGGTTCTGCAGCTACCTTACCATCAATTCTTTGAAGTAACCTATATAAAAAAAATATATATAATTTTTTATACAACCATACACATGAAAATATATATAATGAAATAGATCAAACAACCTTACTATTTAAGCTGCAAACTGTAGCTCTTAGGTCCTTATGATATTTATTGAACATTGATGGTCCTCAAATAGTAAAAAAATATCATAAAGGCCTAAAAGCTACAGTTCCGCAGCTCTCTTACCATCAATTCTTTGAAGTAACCTATATAAAAAATAAATATATGTACAACCATACACATGAAAATATATAAAATGAAATAGATCAACCAACCTTACTATTTAAGCTGTGGAACCATAACCCTTAGGTCCTTATAATATTTATTGAACATAGATGGTCCTCAAATAGTAAAAAACTATCATAAAAATCTAAGAGCTACGGTTCCGCAGCTACCTTACCATCAATTCTTTGAAGTAACATATACAAAAAATAAATATATATACAACCATACACATGAAAATATATAAAATGAAATAGATCAATCAACCTTACTATTTAAGCTGCAAACTGTAGCTCTTAGGTCCTTATGATATTTATTGAACATAGATGGTCCTCAAACAGTCAAAAAATATCATAAAGACCCAAGAGCTATGGTTCTGCAGCTACCTTACCATCAATTCTTTTAAGTAACCTATATAAAAAATAAATATATATTCAACCATACACGTGAATATACATATAATGAAATAGATCAACCAACCTTACTATCAATTCTTTACTTAGGAAAGGTGTGAAATTTTTTTTAAAAAGTGTTAAACCCATCCATTTGCTCATGTGCTTGTCAGAATTTGGTGTTCATATAAGTTCATTGTTTTTTTCTGTTCATTTTATTCACAACTCTTTTAGACTTGAATCAAATTTGCACCTTATCGCTATTTGTCCGCCATTACTGGACATCACAAAGGTTCACGTAAATTTTGACATCACAATAGAAAATATCTGACTCCCAGTGGAAAAGGTGTCTGCATGACGCCACAATGGAAAAAATGTGTAACGTCAACAGTTCAAAAGGTGCAGATTCTCGGGTCATTAAGTGGCGCAGATTTGCAAATTATAAGCTATAAGGTCTATTGTTTATATACATCGGACTATAGTTGATGATCTCTATGATGTCTTTGGCTATTCATTTTCATTGGGATGGTGCCTCATCGATGTATACCCTGCATTCCTTTTTTCATAAAAAGTATAGGTACTTGCATGGGAACAGGACAATTTTTTTTCAACCCTCCCCTTTTTTTCCAGAATCGTTATATATATATATATTATATAGAGAGAAGGACAGTATCGTACTTCGTAACTCATCACCTATCTTCCTACATGAATTCTTTGAGGAATCCCAAGTCTAATTCATTTAATATCCTTCCGGTCAGTAGGCATAATTTGTTTCCAGCTATCATTTTTCGTTTTAAGCAGTAGCACTTTTAATAAAATTAAAGTCTGTCGGCAGAACAGATCAATTTTGTTCATCTTATTTTGATTCTTAAATGACGGAAGTATGATTGTATGGGCGACAACTCTTAATTCCACACCAGCTCTGGTTCCCTGAAACAAATGTCTTGAATGTTATTGTACAGCACGATAAGGTACTAGAGTTCACCATATTAGTATGAAGTACAAAATGTATAAATAGACACGAGCATGTTTACGGTTTATTTATACTTCATACTGTTATGATGAACTCTCGTACCTTATAGTGCTGTACAATAACAATCGGGACATTTGTTCAGGGAACCGGACTTGGAGGCAGAATTAAAGTTGTCGCCCATACAATACTTCAGTTATTTAAGAATCAAAATACCACAACACAACAAACAAAATTGATTCGATCTGCAGACATTCCAACTTCAAATTTCATTAAAAGTGCCTACTGCTTAAAATGAGGAATGATAACAGAAAAGAGTCATGCCCACTGACCTGAAGGAAATTTAATATTTTATGAATTAGACTAGGGATTCCTTAAAGAATTCAAGTTGGAAAATAGGTGATGAGGTACAAGGTGAGATACCTTCTCTCTATATATTATATATCAGTGACCGCTATGTATAGTAAACTTGAAATTGATAAAAAATAGCAACTACAAGTTATTTTTAGTATATTTATGTTCATACAACAGAAAAATTCAAAAATAATTGAAATTAATAGAAAATAAAAAAATGAGATTCTGGAAAAAAGGGGGAGGGCTTAAAAAAAATTGTCCTGTCCCTAAGTACCTAATAGGTAAATAGACTCCAAGAAAAAAATTAAAGTACACTATTGCATAATTTTCAACCAACAAAAAAAAACTCACCACATATAATTATAGATGAGGTTCTTACCATACCCTTTGGTAACTACAAAGATAGCTGTTTTACTGTACACATTGCTTACTCTTCAAGGTCACTGAATACTGTTCTGCTCTGTTCAGTTGTTGGGTTCCTCTAAAATATAAAATATTTGAAAGGATGGAAACTTAAAACTTTATCTTATTTATAGTTCTTTATAAAATGTTTATTCAATCTAAGACATTCATATAAAAATAAAGAGATGTGGTATGAGGAGACAACTATCCACCAAAGTTCAAATGAAGTAGATTTTAGTCATTATAGGCAACTGTACAGCCTTCAACAATGAGATAAACCTAAATAATATGGTCGGCTTTAAAAGGCCTTAAGACACTAAAAATATGAAACAATTCAATTGAGAAAACTAACAGCCTAATTTATAACAAAACAGTTTACATAAAAAAAAAATATGACAAAAATGAACCAAGGACAACCACTGAACTTTCAGGCTCCTGACTTGTGACAGGCACATAAAGAATGAAATGTGTCAGGGTTAAACATGTTTGTAAGTGTTCAACACTCCCCCTAACCTGGGATAGAGGTGTAACAGTACAACATAAGAACAAACTATAAAAATCAGTTGAAAAAGGCTTTACCCATCAGATGGATACAAATAGAAATACATCTAACAAAAACACAAAGAAGACGTAAACGGGTACTTATACATCCCAAAAACAAAAAGACACAAAGTACATATCTGAGAGTACTCGCAGTTACTGACAGCTTAGTTCAAAGCCAATAACAACTAATAAAAAACATATTATCATAGGGAACATGTGTACTAAGTTTCAAGTTGATTGGATTTCAACTTCATCAATAAACAGCTGTGCCATGAGTGCATGATAAGCCCGTCGTCTTGTGCGTGAATTTTTATGCAATAATCATAAATAGTTTCTGACATACGGCCTGACATGCCAAAACCACCTTTTTTTTTACAAAAAACTCAATATCTCTAAAATAAAATTTTGAATCAAAACCAAAAAGTATACAGATCTTTAGATTAATATAACTAAGAAGTGTGTAAAATTTTAAGCAATAATCATAAATTATTTTTGAGATACGGCGCGACATGTGAAAAACCCCTCCCCCTTTTTTTACAAAATACTCAATAACTCAAAAATAAAATTTTGAATCATCACCAAAAAGTATACAGATCTTAAGATTAATTTAACTAAGAAGTGTGTAAAGTTTTAAGCAATAATCATAAACTGTTTTTGAGATACGGCGCGACATGTGAAAAACCCCTCCCCCTTTTTTAACAAAATACTCAATATCTCTAATATAAAATTTTGAATCATCACCAAAAAGAATACAGATCTTAAGATTAATATAACTAAGAAGTGTGTAAAGTTTTAAGCAATAATCATAGATTGTTTTTGAGATACGGCGCGACATGTGAAAAAAAAACCACACACCTGTTTTAGTTACTAAGTCCCGTAACTCAAAAAGTTTTAATCTTATTTTCACCAAAAAGTATACAGATCGTTTGACCATCATAAGAAGCAACTATATTAAGTTTCATGAAATTTGGATAAGTCGTTCTCAAGTTAAGGTGCGACATGTTTATGCCGGACAGACAGACAGACAGACGACATTTGTATACCATAATACATCCCGTCAAAATTTTGACGGGCCTATAAAAACTACCTTGATCAAAAGCTTTAACCTAAAAACTTTAACCTGAAGCGGGACAGATGGATGAACGAACAGACAGACGAACAAATGGACAGACGAACGAACAGAGAGACTAACGAACAGACGAACGAACTGACGCACAGACTGAAAAACATAATGCCCATAAATGGGGCATAAAAATCATGTATCTAAGGCTTAAATATCAATCAGTACACATCCAACACCCAATGGATTAAGGGTAAAGACGTCATTAACAGTCAGAGAAAAACATGACCTTGTGCAATGCCAAACTATAGGTATTGACGGATTGTAGAATCGTGAAAGTACATATGTAGATATAAGAAGATGTGGTATGAGTGCCAATGAGACAACTCTCTATCCAAGTCAAAATTTATAAAAGTAATAGTACCAAACCTTCACCCTTTTTCCAAAACAATAGTGTAACATCACAACATAAAAAGACACACTATAAAATATCAACTGAAATGGCTTAACTCAATCAAAGGACATATTAACACCATTGAACATACACTGAACAAATAAATTTGATCTATGATACAATGTATATACAAAATAAATAAACTAAGGGAAGAATAATAAAAGTAACATGTTATATCGGTATGAAATGTTCAACAATTAAAGAAAAACAATATGCTCGAACAAAAATATCAGCCATTTGCAATAACTTTAAACACAGGTAAATGAAAATAATTTTGTTGTGTAATATTTAGTATGGTTTTAATTCATTGATGACAAAATCAATATTTACACCAATAAAAACAATATTCAAAGATTAAGTTACAGTGTTGAATAGGTTACCTTTTAGAATAAGTTTATTTAAAGGATTGATAAGTGTTACCCGGATTGTTTATGTTTTCTTTAAGCAAAAAATTCTCCTTTAATCAATGTAATATTTCAATCAATTTCTAATATATTTATCTCAACAAGAATAAAAACATATCCAACCAAATATTAATATTATCCTGTAAAACTTAAACCATAAAATATTTCTTTGCATGTAAATATCATTTAGTAAGATCAAGGTTATTGTTCCGTGACCTATTGCGGTTCATATGGATGTAGATGTAGATGACTATAAATTATATAATACATGGCAAATATTTGTAAATACTGAATATCAGCTCATAACTAAAGCAAAGAAACAGACAGATATTATTATGTTGAAAAGATATGTTATAATTTATATCTGATTAATCTTTTTAGCTACAAGTATCCAAAAGATAAAACAAGAGTGCACACGCTGAAATGTCTCACCTACTATACTGACCATTGATTTTATGTTGATAGTCCTACATATAAAGTTTTACTACAAGTATCACATTAACATTTATGATCCAAGAAAATGAGGTCAAGGTCAGATAAACCAAGTCGGAAATACATGTACACCTTTAATACAACCCCTCCATACACAGAATATAGATGACCTATTGCTTATAGTATAAAAGAAACAGACCAAACCATGGAAATTCTATACTGACCAATGAACCATGAAAATGAGGTCAAGGTCATTTGAACCCTGCCAGACAGACATGTACACCTTAAAATCATTCCATGCATCAAATATAGTTGACCTATTGCTTAAGGTATCTAAGAAAAAAAAGTTAACCAAGAAAACTGAACATTGACCAATCTGAACCATGAAAATGAGGTGAAGGTCAGATGATACCTGCAAGACAGACATATACACCTTACAATCATTCCATACACCAAATATAGTTGACCTATTGCTTAAAGTTTAAGAAAAACAGACCAAAACACAAAAACTTAACATAAGCAATGAACCATGAAAATGAGGTCAAGGTCAAATAAAACCTGCCAGACTGACATGTACATCATAAAATATTTCAATACACCAAATATAGTTGACCTACTGCATACAGTATTAGAAAAACAGACCAAAACACAAAAACTTAACATTGAGTAATGAACTGTGTAAATGAGGTCAAGGTCAAATAAAACCTGCCAAACTGACATGTACATCGTGAAATATTTCCATACACCAAATATAGTTGACCTACTGCATACAGCATTAGAAAAACAGACCAAAACACAAAAACTTAATATTGAGCAATGAACCGTGAAAATGAGGTCAAGGTCAAATAAAACCTGCAAGACTGACATGAACATCGTAAAATATTTCCATACACCAAATACTGTTGACCTATTGCATACAGTATAAGAAAAACAGACCAAAACACAAAAATTAAACTATGACCACTGAACCATGAAAATGAGGTCAAGGTCAGATGACACCTGCCAGTTGGACATGTACACCTTATAATCATTACATACACCAAATATAGTAGACCTATTGCTTATAGTATCTCAGATATGGACTTGGCCACGAAAAATTAACATTGTTTAGGTGTAATACCACCAAACTATAGTAAGTCACATCTGGTTGCATACGAAAATAGGTCGAAAAAAAAATATTCCCTTGAATTTGACAGTTGTAGGTAATTGATCCTACATTACATTGCAGTAAAACATTTCTGGGTCATAAACATATATCTTGGGTATTTCAAAGCACCATCATTTTTTTATTTGGGGTTTCTATAGAATATTTTGGAAACTTGAGGTTACATGGTTACTTGAGCTTGTACACAGGTTAAAAAAAGGGGGAAAATTTGAGTGGTTAACTTCCAGTGATTGCTATTTTCTTATATGCAATGAAATGTTATGTGAATTTTTTCTTTAGTACTGGACAGGATAAAACTTTACTCATGTCAAGTATTTCTTTATTTTAAACAAAGATAAATTCTGCACAATTTTTTGAAAAGTGCAAATTTAACAAAGACTAATAGGGGAAAATCAATGGTGGTATTACATCTTTACTGATCCATGAAATGAGGTCTAGGTCAAAGTCAAGTGAAAACTGTCTGACAGGCATGAGGACCTTGCAAGGTACGCACATACCAAATATAGTTATCCTATTACTCATAATTAGGGAGAAATTAACATTACAAAAATCAACTTTTTTTCAAGTAGTCACTGAACCATGAAAATGAGGTCAAGGACAATGGACATATGACAGACGGAAACTTCATATCATAAGGCATCTATATACAAAGTATGAAGCATCCAAGTCTTCTACCTTCTGAAATATTAAGCTTTTAAGAAGTTAGTTAAGTCACCCCCGCCAGATCACTATCCCTATGTCGAGCTTTCTGCGACAAAAGTTGCACCCACAACAAAAACAAGGGTTTGTAAAAGTTTTTTTTTTTATTTACTATTAACTATTATACCTGTATACACTGGGTCTAGTCCATTGTTGAAAGTCTATATAATGGAGTTGTAATTATGTCTGGCTATCCTAAATGCATCTGAATACAAAGTTAGACGACTGTAAGTTCATAGTACTCCAAGAACTGAAAAGAAACATCTAATATTAAAACAGGTCATGAAAATTTTTACATACCGGTAGACTAGAACAATCTACTCGCCTCAATACATTCCGATTTTCATTAAGGCAAATAACCCTAGAAATATTAATAAATATAAGGTTCAGATCCAGGATTTTGAAAAGGGGGCCCATAAATGTAGCTCCATAAGGGGAAGGGCACCCCCTTAAATCAGCCTCTGCTTTTGCAAAACTTGTAAACTTGAAGACATGTACGGACATTTGGAAGAGTGTTTTACAAAATTCTCTAATATATAAACAAATGTGAAGAAACTGTAATAGTCATCATTTTGGTTCACATCCAACCTTATTCTGCATGAAAATTTTGTGAAATCTTTTTGATTCTACAAAAGTAATTTTCTAGAACTAAAAGCTTTCAAATCCCAAAGTGATCACATTGAAGCAAATAATTATAACTAAATAATACCTTAAACTCCTCATAAACCTCTGAACATATTTGGTGTACCAACAAAGTTCTAAGGAAATAATCCATGTCTTTATTCAAAGAAAGATCAAACTAATTTGAAGTCAAATTCTAAGCTTTTGATCACATGATCATACAGGTAATAAATTTGTTCACTCACATCTACTCACTTCACACTTGAGTAACTAGCTGTGTACAAAAATAATTTAACCTGACAAAGGTATTTCACCAAATTATGTAACAGAATTTTGTTCAGATAATAAAACATTCCCCTAAAGGGAAAAGTTTTAATATAAGTTGTACGACTTTGCCCCCAGCATAGCTATAGAAAAACAGTACAATAAGGGGTGTGTTACAGGTCACTTTTTATGAAGATACAGGACTCTTTTTATCAATAAGTCACTCGTGCATTCATTGAGTTCATTTTTATCTTTTATCACTTCATCCTAAATGTACACCTTGTGACCTAATTACCTTGATTTATCAGATTGGGAACAACCCTCCAAATGAGGGATATCCCTTAAATGAGGGACTGTCCCCCAGACAAGGGGTCATTTTGCTGTTGTAGAAAAGAAAAAAGAAAATCTTAGCTTTTTTAACTTAAAAGTGGAAAAATTCATTATTTTTTAAAACAACTTTTCTAAATAAACTGTTAACACTGAGATATGTCTCACCTATTTGTTATTTTGATAATGCAAATGTTGAAATTAAAATTACAATACTTTAACATGTAAGTTATGCAAATATTCAAAGTCAATGAACCATGACTGAATGAACAGGGCTAAACAGTCTCAATGGAAATGAGATGTGCCAATGCTAATACAACTGCAAACCAAATACCATTGACTTTTCATAAGTCATTCCCTTTAAACAAACCTATAAACAAAAACATGAACTTGCAAACTATGTAAAAGTTTCAAAGTCAATGAACCATAATTAGGGGTGGGGTTATATAATCTCCATGGAAATGAAACTTGCAAATGCCAATACATTTGCATACCTAATATCATTGACTTAACATTAGTGGTTCATCTTAAACTGACCTAATCACAAACTAATACATGTAAACTAAGCAAAAGTTTCAAAGTCAATAGACCATGACAGAGCAGTAAGGACCAAATATTCTCCATGGAAATAAGATGTGCTAATGTTTCTACAACTGCATACCAATTATCATTGACCTACCACTAACGGTTCCCCTTAAACTGACCTAATCACAAACTAATACATGTAAACTAAGTTTAAAAGTCAATAGACCATGACTGAGGGGGGGGGGGGGGGGGGGGGGGGCAAATAATCTCCATGGAAATGAGATATGCCAATGCTTATACAACTGCATACCAAATATCATTGACCTGCCACTAGTGGTTCCCCATGAACTGACCTAATCACAAACTAATACATGTAAACTAAGCAAAGTTTCAAAGTCAATAGACCTTGACTGAGGGGGTGGGACCAAAAAATCTCCATGGTAATGAAATGTGCCAATGCTAATACAATTGCATACCAAATATCATTGACCTACCACTAGTGGTTCACCATGAACTAGACCTAATCACAAACAAATACATTGTTGACGCCGCCGCCAGAAACAGCATACCTATGTCTTGCTTTTTGACTCCGTCAAGGCGAGACAAAAAGGGGTCCACTTATTTTGAGTAATATAGAAGATATATAAGTCCATCAATATTACTTCCCGTTCTGGTTGAGGACAATATTACTTCCAGTTCCGGTTGAGGAACATGTGCATTTTAATAATAGACAAACTATGATAAACAATTCCTAAATATAGAAGGACCAAGGTTCAGGGAATGGTTCCAAGTAATATATAAAGACTCCATATATTGTTAACATCCACCACAACAGCCAATTATCACCACCATGCCCATTATCTACATTCTTTGACCCAAAACTTGTCACGTCATTCTAAAAACTAACAATAATATGGTGTCTATTTTTTGACGATCTATCTAAAATTGCCGTTGAGAGTGTTACTCAATCCAATCTTTGGATGCCTGACACTGAATTTATTAAGTATAAGTTGCCTGATCAACCAAAACCACCAACAGGCATTGCTATCAAGGCACCTTTTGAAAAACTTGATCACGACTTGTACAGGCCAGCGGAGCGTATGGTAGCATTACGAGTTGAATCAAAAGATCGGTTTCTGCTTTGGATAAAAACTTTTACTTTTCGCTACCATTCCCAATTTGGGGCTCTTGACAACTATACTTGCAAGTGAACAGACAAAGAAAAATACTAAAGAGGGCAACATTTAGGTGAAATATTTATACAATTTTCAAGGGCACGTACTGAAGATGAAATAAATACTGACTCAAACAAACTACTTACATTTCATTATTATCCAACAACTTTCTCTGAACAGTTCAAGGAACACATTATTTATCATGGACAAAAACAGAGTTCCAATATCTTTAATCAATACTAGACAATCATTTTAAACTAGACAATACAGTCACAAATCATGAACACAAGACTTCATAACACAATTAGACCAAAGTGAGACAAAACCTATGAAAATGTCAACCCCTAGAATTGTAATGCCAAGAACACATGATACTGTGATAAATAAACAATCTACTGAAAATATTCCTGCATCATTGCAACTATTAGAGAGTAAACTATGTGAAGTGTCAAACACCTGTGCAGGCTTAAAAGATGACAACCCTACAGATAACAATAACTATGATAGCAAAATTTCAGAACTAAATCAAAATCTTGATGATGATGACCTGAAAGGAAATCAACAAAAATTAGAAAAAGAGCTTCATTATCAGGTCTTGTGTTATCATCTAATCAGATGAAGAAACAACTTGTAAGTTCAGCAGTCCTTGACAAGAAACTTGTAGACTTTGAAAAGTCAATTTTGACAAAAATAAATTTACAAAGAAACAAAGTTACTTACACTGTCACATTAAAGGAAAATTCTGACTTAAAGAAAGCGTTGACAAACTTGGAGTCGTCAAACTCAAAAACAAAGAACACAAAATGAGGCTTTTGAGGAGCAAAATCAGTTTTTAAACAAGAAACTATCTGATCTTGAAAACCAACTTCATGAGATACATGTACCTGAAATTGAATATGAGGCAACCATAAGCACACACAACCCACTTACAGGGCTTACAACACAAAATGATGACATGACAGATATAAGTGAAAAAATCAGAGATGAACAAAAAGTAAAGAAAGATGATGATAACAGTATTCATGAAAAAAATCAGAGATGAACAAAAAGTAAAGAAAGATAACAGTATTCCTAAAGAAAAACCATACAGGTATGCTCAAGATCTAGAAATAATTATTGACTCTCATGGTCTATTGGCATCAAAACTGTACAGAAACATACAATCCAAAATCAAGGTTCTTGGACCAGGAAAGAAGAATAATATAAAAGGTGCAGGGGAGACTATTCTTGAAACAACCAACAAAGACACCAGACATATTGTCTTAGGTGTAGGATGCAATGACTTGAGTATCAAAACAACTATACTGCATGTGTAAATGAAATGAAAAACCTTATAGAAAACACAATTAACAGTCATACTCGTTCCGACATACATGTTTCACCAACATTTGATCGTGTGAAACAGCCCCATTTCAACAAATAAAAATTCATAAGGGTTCCACGGAACCCAGTGTCTCGCCTACTTTTGCTGTTGTCTATGTTTTCAGTGTGATATAGGGGAATGCACATAATAGATTTACAGTTAATGAAATAAAACGTTTGAAATGTGTGAAAAAAATTATGCTTGTAAAAAATTAATACAGTATGCAATCAAATCTATAGATTTATAAAAGAGTTGAAACATAAATTTATTGAATGAACAAATGATAAAGAAGATAATTTTTACATTTTCCTTTAGATACTATCTTTTGATTGTAAGAAGCTTCTGTCCAAGTTTGGTAAAAATCCAGGATGGTTTATGAATCTAATAAATGTTTTAAAAACTTTAACTGCAGACTATGTAATGTTAACTGGAAGAAAAACTTGTAATGTTAACTGGAAGAAAAACTAAGTCCATTTATAAGTAATATACGGAAAAACAGGAAATAAATTTTTACAAAATTTCCTTCTAGATACTAGCTTTTGAACATAAACAAGCTTCTGTCCAAGTTTGGTAGAAATCCAGGATATTTTAAGAAAGTTATCAAAATTTTAAAAACTTTAACCACAGAGTGAATGTAATGTTAACTGGCAGAAAAACTAAGTCCATTTATGAGTAAAATACGGATAAACCTGATTTTTTTTTACAAAACTTACTTCTGGATACTATCTTATGATCATAAACAAGCTTCTGTTCTGTATATTATAGTTTAAGAAAGTTATTAAAATTTCAAAAACTTTAACCACAGAGTGAATATTTGTGGACGCCACAGACGACGATTGCTATGTCTGGCTTTTGCGACAAAAGTCGCAGGCTTGACAAAAGCCAAAGGAATTCAATGAAGAAATAAAGAAATATTGCGAAAATCAATCAGATGTTAAATTCATTTTGAACAATGACATAAGTGGTAATAACACA